ACTTGTTAGCTGCATTACCTGCTTTATGGAAGGGCTGTGTGGGGCGGCGTGGCTGCTTGGCTGCTGCTTGATTGCTTCAAAGCGGATTCCTGGCTGGTTGTGGGCTGTTTCTTCTGCTTCATGACGGCTTGGCTGCTTATTGGCTGCTTCTTGACGAATTGTCGGCTGCTTTGGCTGCTTCTTGGCTGCTTGGCACTACTTGATGGAATTGCTGCGCGGTTACTTGTTGGCTGCGTGTTGGTTACTTCGAATGGCTGCGTAGCTTTTATGGAATGGCTGCACGACTGCATCTTGATATAACGTGTTAACAACATGTTGACTTGTTGACAACATGTCAATAACATGTTGCAAAACTACGTGCGCAATTAGGTTTTTTGGGTGATTGAGAACACCGTTTTTGAAATGGTGCTCGAAGTGCGGTTTTTGGGGAAAGTGGCAACTTGAGAGACACCGTTTTGAAACGGTGCTCGCGAAGTGCTGGGTTTTTGGGGGAAGTGGCAACTTGAGGGACACCGTTTTGAAACGGTGCTCGCGAAGTGCTGGTTTTTTGGGGAAAAGTGGCAACTTGAGGGACACCGTTTTTTGAAACGGTGCTCGCGAAGTCGACTAAAAAGTGCAGTTTTTCCCAATTCCCTCAAAATGGTCCGATAGCCGATTCATAGATGTCTTTCCATCACAAAAAAACATCAGCAGATTGGCGTTGCTTGTGTTTAATTTATTTCATAACTTTTAAACCTCCCTTGAAGCGATTTCGTGTGGCCTTCTTCTTGTTGTGTCGTTTTTCATTCTTGTTGTCTGTTAGAAAGCGTTTTGCGTTGTATTTAATTTATTTTCTTCGCTTAACGCCACCTGAAGCGATTGTGTGTGGTTTCTCTTTCTCGTGTGTGTCTGGAGAAGACGTTTTTTTTTCTTCGCGGCAGAAGGTTGAGAACGAAAACGTACTGTGTTTTTCAAAGAGCCGGAGGGAGTGGAGGGGCGCACCCCCATTTGCGAACGTCCTCGCTTTGTGCTCCTTGAAGAGCGGCCTTCTTTTGAGCCTGCCTTGAGTCCTCCCCTGCAAACCCTCCAAGCGGTTTCAAGCCCTTCTCAAGCTCCTTCTCAGGTGAGAAGCCTTCCCTTCTTAGGGGCTTGAGAAGGGGCTTCAAGCCCCCTTCTCCAGCCCTCCCTTCTCAAGCCCCCTTGAAGGGTGGTTTCGAAGGGGCTTCAAGGGGGCTTGAGAAGGGGCACCTTCTCATCAAGGCCTTGAAAGGGGGCTTGAGAAGGGGCTTGAAGCCCCCTTCGAAATTAGGAAACCCCCCTTCTCAAGCCCCCCTTGAAGCCTCTTTTCAAGCCCCCCTTCAAGCTCCCCTGAAAAGCCCCTTGAAGCCTCTTTGAGAAGCCCCCCCTTTCTCAAGCCCCCTTTCAAGCCTCTCTTCAACCCTTCAACCCTCAGCCCCCCCCCCTCCCCCCCCGGTGGGGGCTTCTCAAGCCCCCTTCGAGAACCCCCCCCTTCTCAAGCCCCCCTTCGCCGAACTATGATGGAGCATGCCCCACAATTGGGGCCTTCGAGAAGTCCCAGGAAGTGCTGGAAGCTCCAGCCACTGGTGCCACCAGCCTGGTCTTTGTTTTCAGCCAAGCTTTGCTTGGTGGGGCCTGTTGTAGGCCAGAGGTCCTTTTGCTGAGCCTACCTTGAGCCCAGCTCTTAGCTGGGCCGTCCTAGCCTACACCAGTGTGCACTGGTAACTACTCAGTCTGGTGTCACCAGACACTGGAAGATCAACGAGCTTCCAGCTAACTGGATTTGTCTCAGCAGACATTCTCGTTTCGGGCATGCTGAACCCTGCCCGCCCCAGGGGGGACAGGGACACCCCCCTTGCTCGACCATGTTAAACATGATCTGCTGGAAGACGCTTTCGTCCAACGCAGCGTGCACAAGCCTCGCTGCCTCTTCGAAGAGCACGGGCAGTGACCGGCCGTGGGCCTCCACCAGGTCCTTCGCCTGGTTGACGTAGTCTGGGCATGTCCTGGCGAACATCTTCCAGAACTGGCCTGCCTTCCAGAGGGCCAGGCATAGTGGGGTGGCAAGTCCCACGAGCCGCTGTCAAGCATGACAGCTACGAGTTACCCGGCTCCACTGGTGTAGGTCAAACGTGGCCCAGTACAGGCTGGCCAAATAGGCACAGCAAGGGCAGAAGGGCCCTCCTTTTCTGGCCTGCAATGGCCACCGAGCAAAGCTTGGTCAAACCAGTTCTAAACTGGTGTAGGACTCTTCAGCCAAGTTTCACCTCGCCTAAGGCAGCGTTGACCTCTTGCCAACAGAGAAAGAAAGAAGTTTGACACCTTATTGGAGATGGAGATGCCAGATTTTGGTTTTGGGGTTGTTGGGTGTTTTGTGTTGGTGTCTTGCAAAGCTGGAGTGCGCACGCAGAAACCGGGAAAAAG